CCGGCGATCGACCGACTAATTCTTCTTTAAACAAACCGAGAAGAACCGAAATGAGCAGCACCAGAAAAACAAAAAGTAAGTTCCGAAATCTTCATAAACACGCTAACAAAAAGTTCTTTTGCCAGCGACCTTGGGGATTTCAGTTCATCTGCTTTGCGTGCTTCATTTTATGGTATCGTCCCCCATTTCATTTTATTTATTAATTCGTAATGCCATTTTACGTCTGGCCATTTGGATGCCATAAAAAGTTTCGGTTCAGTTTCAGATTTCTTTGAATTGGTTCGCTTTGATTCGCGAGTGGAGTATGCATACTCGCATGTAAAAAGTACGATGCCCCAAAAGAATCTTTAGAATGCAAGTAGCAGAAGCTATACCATTTTCTCAGTACTATCTGCCAAAGTTGCACAACCCACACTCGCATTTTGAGTACTTGCTTTGCTCGCCGCCTGGCCTCTTTGACTTCAATTTCCTTTTGTATATTTACATTATTTTGGTTTTCGCCTCGAATCCGCATTCAGCATACGCCCTGTTGCCCTCACCACTCCGGCAATTGCATCTGCAAAACACATTCGCCATGGAAGGCAGTGGAAGTGGAATGCCAAAGAAGAGCACAGAGCGCGCTTCTCATTGTGTGCCGCTCCGCGATGCCCAGATGCAGATACGAGGCCGCCAGCGGTCTAATAGATACAGATACTCGGCCACAGATACCCAGATACTCGCACAAAGGCAAACATAGCTGAACATTTAGATTGCAGAATCCAAGCGAATGCAGGGCAGCCGGAGGGGCGGAGGGACGGGTGGGCGGATGGGATGCGGAGGCGGCTTCTTGTACCAATTACTTAATTTAGCAATAAAATTGCAGCCGGCAAAGAGCAGAGAGCCGACAAATCGAGAGCAAACTCAAAAGAATTGCATCTGCAAATGTTGCATAAGAACTGAGGCGAGTATGAGATGATAATGGGGGGGGAATAAAGGGGGCGGGGCATGGCAGGTTGACTTTTTGTCCCCGGGAGAAGAAGGCGCCGCATTCATGATGGAACTGGGGCAGTGGTGCATCGAGTGGAGGGAACACTGTGGTTATGATTAAGAACTATACGCTGTATGTTTCGCATTGGGCGCAGAACCTATTAGTGACTTTCCATATATAGACATTATGAATATTATTTCTAAAAAATGATATTAACTAATTGAATGTTGCAGTAGTAAATGCAATTAATATTTCATATCAAATAGACTTTATAGCAATACGCTCTTGTTCTACAAGTGTTTAGGTTCATTAGTTCCCAATGCATTTTGATTATTACAAGTGCATCATTAGTATCTTCATCTCGTGGATTGCATTTATGTGCAAATCCGATCTCTTCAGCTGAGCCATAGACTCCGATAAACTGCACTACCCAACTACAAACCTATCCCAGATACCCGAGCACTTTGCCTGCATTGTTCGAGCACATATAGTATAATTTAGTGCCACCGCCGACTTGACTGAGTTATTAATTAGCGAGCAGAGTAAGTGAGCAGTCCCCCTCCTTTCCCCCAAGGGGGCTCTCCGATGAGCTGATCTGCGGCCCCCTTTCTGCGCCTCCGTTCGAGCCACACATTTCTGAGTCAGGCTAATACTCACGATCGTTTTGGGGCCTTGTCAAAGGTGAGTAATAAGCGGGAGATCGTATATGGCTCGCTGGATGTTTCCACAGAAATTCGCCAAGTTGTGCGGCAAATGCTCACCTTGAACTTGGCCAGACAAGCGGGCAGAGAGATGTTAGTTAGCAATTTGAGTTTTCCTATCTATTGCCCCCTCTTTTTGCAGTTGCATCGCGCTGCTCAGCGAAGCAGAAAATATTTAAATGCTAAGCAACTTTTTTATTTATTATTTTTCCCCCCTTTTTTGTGGATGCTAAGCAAATATGAATGCGAAATTTGTTTGGCGTTGCGGCTCACCCACGAGCTGGTCATGACAATGCCGATGCCGATGACGATTTTGTTGGCCTGGCCAAAAAGCAGAACCACCACAAAGTAATTACGTCGAAGAGCGTGCCAGAGAGAGAGAGGTACAGCAGGTTATGCAAGTTCAAGGCCAAAAACTCTGCATTAATTATAATTATTTTTGCATTTGTTAAACGCAGAGGGGCCGCAACGACAACAACAATCATCGAGCTGCCTGTGTTAATTGTCTGGGCGAATGCAAAAGAGGAAAAACAGGTAAATGCAGAATTTGTTTTGCTCGAATGTGGTAATTAATTGTGGCCAGCAATCGATGGCAGAATCCCCAGCCACGAGGGTTAATGCCATTCAAAGGTATCGAAGCCCCAAGACCAGTAAATTACCTCAAGACAGAGTTTTTATTACTTTGTAATACAGAAGATATAATTAACAGCAACAAAAATAGCACTATTGAAATATTCCGTAGAGGTGAAACAGCCAAAACTAGGGGATTAACAAATAACCGAATTTAAAACAAGAAGCGCAGATTTGTTATGACTCTTTAATGTGGAAAGTATGCAGAACAGAGCGAAGAACACTAGACATTATATACATTACACATTATTATATTACCAATCGAGAAACTTTCACCCAAGAGAAAGTACTGCAACTTTGCACTGGGTGCCACTCCGCTTCGCCTCCACTTTTGTTATCAGTAAAGTATTTGGCACACAGCCAGTATATCTCATATCATTTGCAGAGATTTGGGATACCCGATAAGCAAGTAAACAAAAGGCTGATAAGCAGCAGTCCAAATTCAATTTGTCCCCTATCGATAAGGAAACGAGGGGACAGGAAACCGAAGGGCGACTTAAGCCAACGATTGCTCCGCCATTATGGGTCTTAAGAGCTAGAACAGGCCATAAACTAAGCCCCTGGAGCAGGGGATGCCACCCATCCACCCACCCATCCAGCCATCCATCCATTTAGTGAGACACAGACACAGAGTGACATAATAAATAAATTTAATCAGTTGGCTGCGTAAAAGCTCTGCTGATGCTGCTGAATGGCGGAGTGGAAACCCAATCCGAATCCGATTCCGTGGCAGCTTTAACTTCTAGCGTCTTTGACTTTGGGATTCACTTTAAGATTGCCGCCGTCTGTGTCATCAGTTCATATTTCGAGTGCTAAGCGCTCATTTCTTTCAATTCCGCCCTTTTTATGACCTCCACCTCTGCCATCTGCTCAACTGCCTGGCTGGCTGGCTTATCTCATTGGGAGCCCGATTCTAATTCCGTTCTTGTGTCTGTCGCCGGGCATCGGGACAATGTGGCTGTGCCCATGTTGCGTATACGTAATCAAGTTCCTAAATCCGACTCAAAGGGCACTTGTGTTGTGATACCCAACGAGTTTTTATAGCCAGCAGCCAACTCACTTTTCAAATTATTTCACGTTCATCATAGCGCCCTCCAGTTTTAATGGCATTATTACCACATTCTGTATACCGCGACGCGTCGTGCGAGTTTTCCATGATTTTTCCCCTTTGGAAATGTACATCCTTTCGGCTATTTGTGTGTTTATTTACTTATGAGGATTAAAGGCCCAATTAAAATTCGTTTAATGTGGCTGAGAAAACACTGGGCCCTTAATAAAGGGCGTGGAAAATGAGGTGCATTTAACAAGGGAGTCGTTTAAATATAATTGAAAATTTAAAACAGAAACCTGCTGGCTGTCCTGTGACAAAAACGCAGAACAATTGTGCGGTTTCCATTATTTACGCCACGAATTCGCTGCTGTAATTGTTATTTTAACTGGGTAAATAATTAGCACAAGCAATCATTTAAATTTAAGCCAAAATTAAAACGTAAAATGGTTTAGTTATACGTGTACAGTCGTAACTTTGTGCCAGGAGAATTTGCATAGTAATTGATTGCATTGCAATCGCAGTAATTGATTGTTCTGCTCGATGTTTGTTTTTGATTGATTTGTCGAGATAGAAATTACGTTTTAATGTGGGTAATTAGGTTTCGATTTGTTGCATGTTTAGAAACAATTTTTTCATATTACTCCATTTTCATATAGGGCCACTAAAAATATAACTGCTTTCCGAGGAAAAAGCAAATTACCTTATGTTTGCGCAACATATTCCTCTGATTAGCACTGAATAAAATGTATTCATGATGCGGAAATCGTTTGAATTTCTCTCGATGGCCTTCCTTTAGTTATAGTTATGTATAACTGGTTAACGCTATGGCTGAAGACCGAATCTCGGCTATTAACACAGAACGTTGGTTCGACCATAAAATCGCATAAATATGCTAATTTCTTTTTGTTTTCGTTTTCATCGTCATAGTATTCTAAGCTCAAAATTGGCTTCGTTTTTTTTTCCACTTATTATTCACCTAATTAGCATAAGCTGTCCGATTAAATACATTTAGAGAGGGCGCAATTGTAAAAGTGGTATTTTGCTAATGATAACACAAGCGAAACATATTATAGTTCGAAATGGGTCAAGGTGCTTTGAATTTCTTGGAGATCAGCTCATGAAATATTGAATTTATAGTTACAAAAATAAAAGCGATGATCTTTCAAAAATTTGATTAGAAACACGCAAGAAAAATATGCTTTATTTAAATTTAGTATTTCAGCATCGTAACATTTAGCCTAAGTTAATAAGCTGAATTCCACGAGCGTCTTCATTTGAGTCGTCTACGTATCTATCGACATCGAATCCAGATCTCCTCATGGCATCGTTGGCCCAATTATTCTTATCATTGCCATTTTTCTTTCGATTAGCTCAGGCTACAGTTGACTGAATGTCAGTTGGTTCTTTAGCTTGGCTTTTATAGCCTAGCTCTGGGCTATCAGCAGTGTTAAATGGCTGGTTTAAAGGTTATATGCATACTCTTAGATTGAGGTGAGTACGGAAATTCCAGGAAATTCCGAGATTCCTGGAATTCCTACCACAAGGTTAATTAATATACTAAACGAGGTAGTGTACTTAATCTGCGACTAGTATTTAAGGCGATTTTTCATATTCATTCGCTTATTAAAATATATAATAAAAGGTCTCGCCATTGATTTTCAACCCACTCATATAAGTACATCGATGTGATGTACAGTTGGGTGGCTCTTTCAACTTTCACTACTATTATTTTACTTAATATTTATTATTGAAGAACTAGTTTATTCACAGACAATAGGAAGGACTGACTTAGCACTACGAGCAATACTAATAATTTCCAAATTAAATCGCCGGTTCGGTAGTAATATCCATAACATCCAAGGTGGTCTCATCGTAGTAGTCGGTTGAGTTCTCGTGAGCTGCATCGTACTCCTGCCAGCGTCTGACTAGCTCGCCCATTGCATTCATGAACTCCTCGGCACTGCTGTAGCCACTGCCAGATTCCTCCAAGGACTCATAGTTGGAATCAGTCGAATCTTCAATTAGCTCGTGCGGATGGGCAGCAATTAGAGCCGCACAAATGAATCCGAGTAGGAGAACCAATGGAGCAATGTGGCTCTTCATACTGTTCAGTACGCTGCAGGCAACTGCATAGCTGGTTGCAGTTTCTTTCGTTTTTATATGGATCGTGTCGGCCAGTAATTAGTTCAGCGGAATTCTGGAAAATCCAGTCTGGGCTAAGCCCAAGTGGCAAGCTGCTTGGATTTCCTCATTCATATTTATGCGTTGGGCGGCACTGTAGTACAGTCTGAATCATCGCAGGCATTGCGCATACGACACGTTGCCACTTGCGGATCAACAGTCATGCAAATCAGTCTATGATTGATTCGAAATAATTGCAGTCTGTGAGAAAATTCTCGGCCATGCCAATCATCTGCCAGTTGCCAGGGAAGTTAGTTAGCTCTAAATGATAGTCGGCAGTTCTACTCTACATATAGGATCACAAACTTAGCAATGCGACTCTACTTAGCGACTGCTTTCCTTGCAGGCCAATGTGAGGGCTGCCGGCAACCCTTAAATGACTCGGTTGCGAGCATCGAGCACTTTACTCCGCTTCGTTGCCTCAATTCCTCTTTGGCTCCTCCGGCACTTTATTCAATTTTTCAAAGCGCGCGCACTCAGCTGCCAGTGCAAACCTCACTCTGCCACCCCGAAAACAGGAGCCCATCCACGAAAACCTGTGGTAAAAACATGCAATCTACTCACGAGGCTAATGCCCTTTTATGGCATTGGAGTGTGCCGCATCAGCAAAACGGTGCTGAATCGCTGCTGCTGAAGCTGCGGCATTCAACCTGCTAACCACCATGCGAACAACACCATTAGATGGGCCACCAGCCTCGATTCACGGGGCTGCAGCTCATTATCCTGGGAAGCTGGGGAGCAGCCACCCATCCACCGAATTGCTGGTGGACTTGTCTGCAAATATGTCGCTGTCGCTCATTTGCATCATCATCATTGGAGTCTAAGACTGCGCCATTGAAATCAGCGTTAGCTTTTACACGGATCGTTTTCAGTCATTTACAAAGCGTTGCAGGACATTTCTAATTTTATATACATAATTATTATTATGCGAGTAACTGAATTTATAACAGATCTTCATATATTCGGAATTTCAAATAATAAGAATATCCTTCAACTTATAATCCCCACTTAAATTCTATTAATACCACTCTATACTATGCATACTATTTCAGCTGCTTTTGTATCTTTTTGTCTGTCTTCTAGGCGACTTGTTACCCATCTCATTATACAACTCCGTCAGTCATATAAAAATCCCCGATACCAGCGGCGCAGCAAACTTGGTTTCGAGTTTTGTTCAGTGTTTTTCAGCCCACATGAATACCCACTTCTAGGTGTATAGAACCTTAGCAAGTGCCATTAAAAAGACACAACTGAAATGGCCCAGGCACTCCGACATGAAGTACGACAGTCAGTCAAATTAACATTTCAGTCACACAATGACCTTCACCTAGAAGCCATCAAAGCGTACCCAAACGGCGGCCCAGCCCTAGCCTCAAATCCCAGGCCCCAAAAGCCCAAGCTCCACCGGAGACCAAAGCCAAAACCAAAACCAAAGCCAAAGCCAAAACCAACTTCAACGCAACGCGGACAAATGACATAAAAAACCAAAGTCAATCAAAAAAAGAGGAGGAATATAATCATATTTCAGCTAACTTTTAAATACCCTTTTTGAAGTTCATGTGTTCGACTTTCATATTATGGAAGTTGTAAGAACTTAACAAACAAATATTTTAATTTTGAAAAGTATAACTGGAAGATACATTTTATTCCAATATACCCAAGTTTGTGTGTATTTTGTACAGTGGTGCAAGCCTCATTCAGAAATCATAGAACACTTTGGTAGGGAACCAGAAATATATGAAAAACGATACAAAGGCGAAGCTGGCTTTTGCTCAGTCGGTCGCGTAATTTTGTTTTCGTAGCCACTTGATTAGCACGCTCTGAGCCATGTTTAAACGTGGGCTGTTTAGCCAAACGGCAGCCGATACACCCGACCTGGTCAAAAGCGTACCGTCCAATAACAGCGATGGCAACAACAAGAGCTCCGATATCGGCGCACAGAATTCAGCTAAAGACCGCACTAAAGACTTTGACGCAAAAAACGTGCGAGTACGTGCGGCTGATTAGTAAAACAAACAAATTAAATTCGTCTCCACTTTTTGCTCGATTTTCTTCTATTTTTCGGCTTACGACTTTTGGCTAAGAGCTACACAAAAGAGCTGTGTTGGCTCAAAGAGATTTCCTAACTTTTCAAAGAGAACTGCTATTGGCCAAAGTCAATAAAAGTTTCGGCTGCGCGTTCAGCAGATGTTATAGTTTTTAGCAATATTCTCTATTAATCTAATGTTAAACAATGTTAAAACCATCACATTACTTAGCCATAATTGCTGGTCTTTAAAAGCTAGCTTAATGTAAAAAAAGACCATTTTCAATGCAGCAAGTGGTTCTTGTTCGTGATATTTATAATTCATATTTAAAAGATTAGCTCTTTTGACCATCAAGGCCCACCACAATCGATTTGATCTTTGCGACTACTAGTCTTGGCTTATTCGCAGGCACGGCACCTGCTATTGGCCAGCAGCTCTATGAGGTAAAATGAATATTTATATAAGAATGGATTGCATTGGCATGAGTAGGCATACGTCTCGCATTCTGGGCTTTATTACTTGGCCCGTGGAGAAGGAGAGTCAGGTTGGTTAATCCATGCCGAATCAATATGCAGGTCGTGGCTTTGACTCAATTCTTATTTTGCCCGATACGTCATTATAAACCGCAGTGTTTCGGTTGGCGAGGGGTTTACTTGGGCTAAGCCCATTATTGGACACCAGTTGGATAACTGCTGTCGATGCTGCTGGTGCTACACGCAGAAAAATGAGGGGCCCAACAGAAAATACAAATATTGATAGGAATAATGATTTTTCTGAACTGTATATGTAATGTATATGAGTATATACTCCAGTATTATTAAAGGAAACAAACATCAAATGGAAAACTACTTAATCTGGATATTCTGCACTTAAACAAATTTCCCCTAATGAAATATACTCGAATGCGGTTCCATCACATCAAATGCAGGATAGTGCCAGAACGTACTATCCTTTTTTTTCAGTGCACTGCTCCCACTGCTGGCACTGCTGCATTGTTCTCGGTGGCGTTCTTAACGAGCGCAGCATGCAAAACAAGGCGCAAGACGCCATTTGGCTAACAGAAACACACAGAGGGAATCGCAGAATCGTTTTTATGGCCGATGCGCCCCCTGAATGATAATGACAATCGAGTCCCAACTGGGTGAATCTCTGGCTTCGCCCTGTCCAGTGGACTGCAGTCCAGCCGAGTCGGGCCTGAATTTTTCTGCCTGATTGTGCGCACGCGCTCATAATCAAAGAGTCTGCTCCTCCCAAGCCCTCCAACTTGGCCAACTCGCTGCTGAGCTGGCCTTTTATGATGGATGGAGCGTTGGCGAGCGATTCGCCTTGACGTTGATGCGCCATCAAGGAAAATTATTGCGTGCGCGCAATTAAAACTAAAATAAAGTTGCAAAAATATGAATCCAAATTTGCATACACCGAAAAAAAACCTATATATATGCACAATGCAGCCACTTCACGCGGATGACTCAGTGGGATTTGAGCGACTTCCTATTGTGTCTGCCACTGCGACTTGCATTGTTCAAGTGTTTGGAACAGTATTGTAATTCTTTCTGAACTTCAAGCATGATTTATATAAATATCTGTTTGCAAAATAAGGTACTAAGGTGTAAGACTGCAAAGTTGCACTCTAAAATATACATCCCAGTGACATCAACCGTCAAAATTTGTATCTCATACTAAAATGGGCATGAGCTTAAGAATTTCGGCACAGCGCTGTGCACTTAATCAAAATTGAAAGCCCATATTTATACCAAATTCATACCAATTCATATGTTTATCAATCAGAAAATTTCATTAAAATTTTACAATTGCGTTGAATGCCCTATTAAACTTCTTGTGTACTCCCTTCATTTAAGCGTTTACCATTGATAGCTTTAATCTCATCACGTTTCAGTTGAATGAAAAGCTTTAAATATTTTGTATTGTGCAATGTACTTTCTGCTGAGTCCTTTAAACACCGCTGATTCAATTTGGGCTGTCTGTTCGGTGCTTTTATAAAATAGTTGTGCAATGGAGCGCACAGCTTTGGTTTTCGTTTTAAAAATTTATAAAGGTTTTGCGTATATTTATTGTATTTTTAACGTGACGCATGGGGAAAATGTTGCCCTTCCTGTGGAGCGGAAGCTCTTCTCGTTCAGAGACAAAAAAAAGTGGCGACATGGGGCAGACAAAATCATCGGACTCCGGCGCTTAACAGCGACATTGTTGACATATCTGGACACTTGGATCGCTATGTTTCTGCCACGATATGTTGCCATATATATATATATGGCATATCAAACGAACCCAGTTTGGGTGTAAATGTGTGTTTATTTGCCGGTTTTGCTTTTGAATTTATGGTAGGGAGTGGAGATGCTGGAGAACTGCCAAAGCAGCCTGAAAAGTTGTCAGCGATACTTTATATGTTAATACATGTATTCTGGGAAATACGTCTATTGGATTTGGTTAGGAAATTGATGTTTTATTAGGACATACGATAAAGCATTGATAGATATTTTAAGTAGAGATGGCATTTGTGGCAGGAGCAAATTGTTTAACTCAACGAACTCTTATGCAGAAGGCCGCTATGAAATTTATTTATTCAACTATGCGGACTAGAGCGATTTGGGACTTAAATTTAATGAATGAAGCCCTTTTGTTTTGGACTATCAAAATCAATACTTTAAAATGTACTTCGCTAAAGAAACTTTATCTGCATCTCTGCTACTACTTTAAATAATTTATTTTTAAATGAAATTAGGTGCCAGCAATGGCCTCATTGGCAATTGCTGTCTTTTGCGTCACAAGATACATATTTATATTTATATATCTACCGGCAATCAAATTATAGAGCAATTCGAGACAAGTCAAGACCACTTTCGGCTGTCAATATTTCATATTATTATCGATTTTGTAACCAAGTACATACTGAAACGGTGCAAAATCATAACACATTCTGGCCTGGGC